CACTGATATGGGACTGGCTGACGGACAAAAGACTGACTGACTGATATAGGACTGGTTGACATGGGACCGACTGACTTGGGGCTGACTGACTGACATGGGACCGACTGACTTGGGGCTGACTGACTGACTGACATGGGACCGACTGACTTGGGACTGACATGGGATCGACTGACTTGGGGCTGACTGACTGACATGGGACCGACTGACTTGGGACTGACTGACTGACATGGGACCGACTGACTTGGGACTGACTGACTGACATGGGACCGACTGACTTGGGGCTGACTGACTGACATGGGACCGACTGACTTGGGGCTGACTGACTGACTGACATGGGACCGACTGACTTGGGGCTGACTGACTGACATGGGACCGACTGACTTGGGGCTGACTGACTGACATGGGACCGACTGACTTGGGACTGACTGACTGACATGGGACCGACTGACTTGGGACTGACTGACTGACATCGTTTGTGGAGACTAAAATCAGGAGAGCATCATGGATGTTAGTCCAGCGCTCTTGTCAAACCGGTTAGTCATGATACCTCGGACTGCACCCACCATGCCCGCCCCCTCTCTCCCAATACCAGTGGCTACAAGATGATAGTGCTTCTGTCATCAAAACTGCGCGGTGGCCAAAAAGTTACCTCATGGAAGTCGGAAGCGTCGCACAAAGTCCACTCTGTCCACTGGGAAATATGACGCGGTTTTTCTGTAGCCACATTTCTACGTGACGTGTTACACAAGGCTAGTGATCAATCCATATCACTGGTATAATGAGTTCAGTAAGTAATGTTTGGGTTATTCCTCAGCTCGTGCAGCAATCAGTCAGTAACCGACTTCACAATAAAGGTTGACTTTAAATGTCCACAAATCTCCAACAATCTTTTAATTATCCTGTTTGTGTTATTCATTAAGAAACCGTGTCGTTCGTCCACCAATTGAGGCCATCCGCCCACTTGTATCGATGATATCCTACAATGTTGCTGTCCACTCCGACATCTTGTTTGTCGGACCAATAGATACCATTTGCCCACTTGTATCGATGCCAAACTCTGCGCTGTGTACTCCAACAGAATTCCTGTCTTCTATCTTTTGATTATCAGTCAACTTGTATTTGTGCCTACCTCTTTCCCTGCGTGTGCTCTTCCCACGAAGATACTAGTGTGCCTCTTCTACCCTGGGGAGGAGAAGTCGTTTTCGGTCTTTCCTCTGTTATCCTGGAACGTAGGGTTATCATACAGTCTAGCTTAGTCTTTCCTCTGTTACCCTGGAACGTAGGGGTATCATACAGTCTAGCTTAGTCTTTCCTCTGTTACCCTGGAACGTAGGTTATCATACAGTCTAGCTTAGTCTTTCCTCGGTTATCCTAGAATGTAGGGTTATCATACAGTCTAGCTTAGTCTTTCCTCTGTTATCCTAGAACGTAGGGTTATCATACAGTCTAGCTTAGTCTTTCCTCTGTTATCCTAGAACGTAGGGTTATCATACAGTCTAGCTTAGTCTTTCCTCTGTTATCCTGGAACGTAGGTTATCATACAGTCTAGCTTAGTCTTTCCTCTGTTATCCTAGAACGTAGGGTTATCATACAGTCTAGCTTAGTCTTTCCTCTGTTATCCTAGAACGTAGGGTTATCATACAGTCTAGCTTAGTCTTTCCTCTGTTATCCTAGAACGTAGGGTTATCATACAGTCAAGCTTAGTCTTTCCTCTGTTACCCTGGAACGTAGGTTATCATACAGTCTAGCTTAGTCTTTCCTCTGTTACCCTGGAATGTAGGGTTATCATACCGTCTAGCTTAGTCTTTCCTCTGTTACCCTGGAATGTAGGGTTATCATACCGTCTAGCTTAGTCTTTCCTCTGTTACCCTGGAATGTAGGGTTATCATACCTTCTAGCTTAGTCTTTCCTCTGTTACCCTGGAATGTAGGGTTATCATACAGTCTAGCTTAGTCTTTCTTCTGTTACCCTGGAATGTAGGGTTATCATACAGTCTAGCTTAGTCTTTCCTCTGTTACCCTGGAATGTAGGGTTATCATACAGTCTAGCTTAGTCTTTCCTCTGTTATCCTAGAACGTAGGGTTATCATACAATCTAGCTTAGTCTTTCCTCTGGTACCTTGGTTGTAGAGTTATCTTATTGTTCATTCAAAGGTAATCTTCATCGCACAACAAACATGGCCATAAATACTCCGATCTCCTCCTAAGTAGGTCACCAAGTGTTTTCTAAGGTTAACAACATCCATTCTGTTCCGGCTGATGTAACGACGGGTGGCTCCCGCATGATTTTCCTGTCTCGCAGCTCCAACTGGTACACCCAAGGTGTGCAGTCTATTCAGTGAAATAAATCATTTCCCACGAAATTTGAAGCCCACAGCGTTTAGTCTCATATTGATGATGTCTTTCATGTCCATAGAGGGGCTGTTACTGATTGTAGCACTGCCAGTCAGAGTCTCTGCTCTCATTGCCTTTCACACCAGCATAACCTGGCTTACAAATGAAGCCGATTTTGCGAAACGGTCCGTGCTGAATCAGATGAAGCCACTGTTTGCGTATAAGCCCTGCCTTGAACTTCTGTAGCATGCTCATTAAGTCGTCGAAAAAGCAAGCATTGGTGAGTTTAAGTGTTTGCAGCCATTCTAGCAGCTTTGTCACAGCCATGACCTCCCTTGTCACAGCCATGACCTCCCTTGTCACAGCCATGACCTCCCTTGTCACAGCCATGACCTCCATTGTCACAGCCATGACCTCCCTTGTCACAGCCATGACCTCAATTATCATGTTGCTGGTGGTAGAAACAAAGGCTCCACTGTCTTCTTTAACGATTTTTCCTGTAGCTGTTGCCGTGAACGTCCATGCACTCACTTCTGACCAATGACAGAACCATCTGTGTGTGGAACAGCATCTTCCGGTGATGGGTGTTCCTCCAGCAATGCTTTCACTTCTGCACCAACTGCTGGTGGCCACAGAAAGTTATCTCAGGTCTAGCTTTGACTTTCTGTTCTATCTTGGGGTGTAGAGTTATCTCAAGTCTAGCTTAGTCTTTCTGTTCTATCTTGGGATGTAGAGTTATCTCAGGTCTAGCTTAGACTTTCTGTTCTATCTTGGGGTGTAGAGTTATCTCAGGTCTAGCTTAGACTTTCTGTTCTATCTTGGGGTGTAGAGTTATCTCAAGTCTAGCTTAGACTTTCTGTTCTATCTTGGGATGTAGAGTTATCTCAGGTCTAGCTTAGACTTTCTGTTCTATCTTGGGGTGTAGAGTTATCTCAAGTCTAGCTTAGACTTTCTGTTCTATCTTGGGGTGTAGAGTTATCTCAGGTCTAGCTTAGACTTTCTGTTCTATCTTGGGATGTAGAGTTATCTCAGGTCTAGCTTAGTCTTTCTGTTCTATCTTGGGGTGTAGAGTTATCTCAGGTCTAGCTTAGACTTTCTGTTCTATCTTGGGATGTAGAGTTATCTCAGGTCTAGCTTAGACTTTCTGTTCTATCTAGGGGTGTAGAGTTATCTCAGGTCTAGCTTAGACTTTCTGTTCTATCTTGGGGTGTAGAGTTATCTCAAGTCTAGCTTAGACTTTCTGTTCTATCTTAGGATGTAGAGTTATCTCAGGTCTAGCTTAGACTTTCTGTTCTATCTTGGGGTGTAGAGTTATCTAAAGTCTAGCGTAGTCTTTCTGTTCTATCTTGGGGTGTAAAGTTATCTCAAGTCTAGCTTACACTTTCTGTTCTATCTTGGGGTGTAGAGTTATCTCAGGTCTAGCTTAATCTTACCTTTTCTAACCTTTCTAACACTGATAAACACAGAAAAAACGTTTGTTGTTGTTGACTGGACGCTGTCAACTCATGACACTCACACATATATACACACATACATACACACACTTACACACTCATTGAGAAACTCACAGATACACATTTACTGTGTTGACAGGACACTGTCAACTCATGACACACACACATACACACATATATACACACACTATTTTGTCGGGACACTGTCAACTCATGAAAAACACATACACACAGATATACACACATTTACACACACATACTCATTGACACACTCACAGATACACATACACTATGTAGTCGGGACACTGTCAATTCATGACACACACACATACACACAGATATACACACATTTACACACACATACTCATCGACACAGTCACAGATACACATACACTATGCTGTCAGGACACTGTCAACTCATGACACACACACACATATACACACATTTACACACACGTACTCATTGACATACTCACAGACACACATACACTATGTTTTCAGGACACTGTCAACGCATGACACATGCACATACACACAGATATACACACATTTACACACACATTTCTTATTGACACACTAACAGACACACATACAATATGTTGTCTGGACACTGTCAACTCATGACACACACACAGATACACACACACTGACACACAGAAATATACACAGACGCGCACAGACGCGTGCGCGCACACACACACTTACAACATTGGGTACGTTTTACGTTGGTCTCCCCATTTACACACCGCTAAACACTAGCTCGCTTCTGATTGGACGGCCTAATGACCACCTCACTTCTGATAGGTCAGTTTCGAGCGATCCGACTTTCACACAAGGTCACGGAGATATTTCGCACTGGCCCTGATACCGCGTTTTGTAAAATTCACTATGCCAGAGCTTCAATCACTTCTACAACAATTAGATAGTGGGTCGTACACACAACCCCCCTAGAGAGTGACGAAACCTATGTCACAGGCTGTCCCTTTCTCGGATATTAAAACGTAAATACCAGACAACAGACTGTGACACCCATAACCTCGACCACAGTAGACTAGTCCAACCAGCTTATTAATGGAGTTGACCTTCAACCGGTAGTGTGTAAATGGGGAAACCATCGTATGATTAACCCAATATTGATATCGACAGGAGACCGCCGACCCAAAATTCTGTGAGAGACGCGTGAGCACGAGGGCGCCACTGGTCACTCCTGGCTATGACATCAGTGAGACTCGATTACAGGTTTTTCCTGTACGTGTTCATCTGCTTCTCCGTCTCCTCGTTCCTGGTAACCGGCATCCTGGTCTACTACCTCAGCCAAAGTATGTCTAGTGTCTGTCTATACCGCAGCCGCAATATGTCTAGTGTCTGTCTACTACCTCATCCACAGTATGTCTAGTGTCTGTCTACTACCTCAACCGCAGTATGTCTAGTGTCTGTCTACTACCTCAGCCACAGTATGTCTAGTGTCTGTCTACTACCTCATCCGCAGTATGTCTAGTGTCTGTCTACTACCTCATCCACAGTATGTCTAGTGTCTGTCTGCTACCTCAACCGCAGTATGTCTAGTGTCTGTCTACTACCTCAGCCAAAGTATGTCTAGTGTCTGTCTACTACCTCATCCGCAGTATGTCTAGTGTCTGTCTACTACCTCAGTCAAAGTATGTCTAGTGTCTGTCTACTACCTCAACCGCAGTATGTCTAGTGTCTGTCTACTACCTCAGCCACGGTATGTCTAGTGTCTGTCTACTACCTCAACCACAGTATGTCTAGTGTCTGTCTACTACCTCAGCCACAGTATGTCTAGTGTCTGTCTACTACCTCAGTCAAAGTATGTCTAGTGTCTGTCTACTACCTCAACCGCAGTATGTCTAGTGTCTGTCTACTACCTCAGTCAAAGTATGTCTAGTGTCTGTCTACTACCTCAACCACAGTATGTCTAGTGTCTGTCTACTACCTCAGCCACAGTATGTCTAGTGTCTGTCTACTACCTCAGTCAAAGTATGTCTAGTGTCTGTCTACTACCTCAGCCACAGTATGTCTAGTGTCTGTCTACTACCTCAGCCACAGTATGTCTAGTGTCTGTCTACTACCTCAGTCAAAGTATGTCTAGTGTCTGTCTACTACCTCAACCACAGTATGTCTAGTGTCTGTCTACTACCTCAGCCACAGTATGTCTAGTGTCTGTCTACTACCTCAGTCAAAGTATGTCTAGTGTCTGTCTACTACCTCAGCCACAGTATGTCTAGTGTCTGTCTACTACCTCAGTCAAAGTATGTCTAGTGTCTGTCTACTACCTCAGTCAAAGTATGTCTAGTGTCTGTCTACTATCTTAGCCAAAGTATGTCTAGTGTCTGTCTACTACCTCAGCTAAAGTATAGTCTCTGTCTACTTCATCAACCACCGTGTGTCTTGTGTTGTATTCGCCTTCTGACAGTTTGTATATGCTGCCTCACATGTTGTGTTTGCTGTCTGACATGTTGTGTTTGCTGTCTCACATGTTGTGTTTGCTGTCTGACATGTTGTGTTTCCTGTCTGATATGTTGTGTTTTCTGCCTGATATGCTGTATCTGCGTTCTGAGATGTTGTGTTTCCTGTCTGATATGTTGTGTTTGGTGTTTGCTGTCTGATATGTTGTGTTAGGTTTTTGCTGTCTGATATGTTGTGTTTGCTGTCTGATATGTTGTGTTTGGTGTTTGCTGTCTGATATGTTGTGTTTGGTGTTTGCTGTCTGATATGTTGTGTTTGCTGTCTGACATGTTGTGTTTAGTGTTTGCTGTCTGATATGTTGTGTTCCTGTCTGATATGCTGTGTTTGCTGTCTGACATGTTGTGTGTGTTGTCTGACATGTTGTGTTTGCCGTCTCACATGTTGTGTTTGCTGTCTGACATGTTGTGTTTCCTGTCTGATATGTTGTGTTTTCTGCCTGATATGCTGTATCTGCGTTCTGAGATGTTGTGTTTGCTGTCTGACATATTGTGTTTCCTGTCTGATATGTTGTGTTTGCTGTCTGATATGTTGTGTTTGCTGTCTGACATATTGTGTTTCCTGTATGATTTGTTGTGTTTGGTGTTTGCTGTCTGATATGTTGTGTTTGGTGTTTGCTGTCTGATATGTTGTGTTTGCTGTCTGATATGTTGTGTTTGGTGTTTGCTGTCTGATATGTTGTGTTTCCTGTCTGATATGCTGTGTTTGCTGTCTGACATGTTTTTTTTTCTTCTGATATGTCATGTTTCCTGTCTGGCATTTTGTGTATGCTGTCTGACATGCGTTTGTTGTCTGGTATGTTGTATTTCCTGTCTTACCTGTTGTGTTAGCTGTCCGATATGTCGTGTTGCCTGTTTGGTACGTTGTGTTTGCTGTCTGACATGATGTGTTTGTTGTCTGACATGTTGTGTTTGTTGTCTGACATTTTGTGTTTCCTGTCTGAAATGTTAGTTTTCTGTCTGATATGTTGTTTGGATTTCTTTTTTTTTTCATATTTACATATTGCGTGTCACCCTGCCCTGATTGTGGATTGTCTCTGCCTTGACTGTGCTATGTCCCTGCAATGACCGTGCTACGTCCCCGATTTGACTGCTGTGTTCCTGTCCTGACTGTGTTGTATCCCTGCCCTGACTGTGCTGTATCCCTGCCCTGACTGTGCTGTATCCCTGCCTTGACTGTGTTGTATCCCTGCCTTGACTGTGCTATGTCCCTGCAATGACCGTGCTACGTCCCCGATTTGACTGCTGTATCCCTGCCTTGACTGTGCTGTATCCCTGCCTTGACTCTCCTGTGTCCCTGTCGTGACTGTGCTATGTCCCTGTCGTGACTGTGCTATGTCCCTGCCTTGACTCTCCTGTGTCCCTGTCGTGACTGTGCTATGTCCCTGTCGTGACTGTGCTGTATCCCTGCCATGACTGTGCTATGTCCCTGCCCTGACTGTGCTATGTCCCTGCCTTGACTCTCCTGTATCCCTGCCTTGACTGTGCTATGTCCCTGCCATGACTGTGCTGTATCCCTGCCTTGACTGTGCTGTATCCCTGCCATGACTGTGATGTATCCCTGCCATGACTGTGCTATATCCCTGCCATGACTGTGCTATGTCCCTGCCTTGACTGTGCTGTATCCCTGCCATGACTGTGCTGTATCCCTGCCATGACTGTGCTATGTCCCTGCCATGACTGTGCTATGTCCCTGCAATGACTGTGCTGCATCCCTGCCATGACTGTGCTATGTCCCTGCCGTGACTCTCCTGTGTCCCTGTCGTGACTGTGCTGTATCCCTGCCTTGACTGTGCTGTATCCCTGCCTTGACTGTGCTATGTCCCTGTCTTGACTGTGTTGTGTCCCTGCCTTGACTGTGCTGTATCCCTGCCTTGACTGTGCTGTGTCCCTGCCTTGACTGTGCTATGTCCCTGCCTTGACTGTGCTATGTCCCTGCCTTGACTGTGCTGTATCCCTGCCATGACTGTGCTGTATCCCTGCCCTGACTGTGCTGTATCCCTGCCTTGACTGTGCTATGTCCCTGCCTTGACTGTGCTGTATCCCTGCCTTGACAGAGATGTGTCCCTGTCGTGACTGTGCTATGTCCCTGCCTTGACTGTGCTGTGTCCCTGTCGTGACTGTGCTGTGTCCCTGCCTTGACTGTGATGTGTCCCTGTCTTGACTGTGCTGTATCCCTGCCTTGACTGTGATGTGTCCCTGTCCTGACTGTGCTATGTCCCTGCCTTGACTCTGATGTGTCCCTGTCCTGACTGTGCTATGTCCCTGCCTTGACTGTGCTGTGTCCCTGTCGTGACTGAGCTATGTCCCTGCCTTGAATGTGCTATATCCCTGCCTTGACTGTGCTATGTCCCTGCCTTGACTGTACTGTGTCCCTGTCGTGACTGTGCTATGTCCCTGCCTTGACTGTGCTATGTCCCTGCCCTGACTGTGCTGTGTCCCTGTCGTGACTGTGCTATGTCCCTGCCTTGACTGTGCTGTCCCCCTGCCTTGACTGTGCTATGTCCCTGCCTTGACTGTGCTGTGTCCCTGTCGTGACTGTGCTATGTCCCTGCCTTGACTGTTGTCTCTTGTTTGTGCAGTTGCTGATGCTCACAGCAGAAACGCCTGGACACTGTTGCGAGATGAGCCAGACCAGGTGGCGCAGTTTTGGTCACGTGACCCGATGGTAATGCAGGGTATCAGAGCCCGTGGGGTTCATCACGGTTAGTAACGTAGCAGCCTCTGACAGACAAGCAGACAGACAAGCAGACAGACAGACAGACAGACAGACAGACAGACAAACAGACAGACAGACAGACAGACAGACAGAATAACGGGCGGGCGGACGGACGGACCTGAACCCATACCCAAACCTATGACCTGAGCCCATGACCTGAAGCCATAACCTGACCCCATGACCTGAACACATACCTGAACCTATGACCTGACCCCATGACCTGAAGCCATGACCTGACCCCATGACCTGAAGCCATGACCTGAACCCATGATCTGAAGCCATTACCTGAAGCCATGACCTGAACCCATGACCTGAAGCCATGACCTGAAGCCATGACCTAAAGCCATGACCTGAAGCCATGAGCTGAACCCATGACCTGATCCAATGAGCTGAACCCATTAACTGAACCCATGACCTGAACCCATGATCTGAAGCCATGACCTGAAGCTATGACCTGAACCCATGATCTGAAGCCATAATCTGAAGCCATGATCTAAAGCCATGACCTGAACCCATGATCTGAACCCATGACCTGAACACATGATCTGAGGCCATGACCTGAACCCATGACCTGAACCCATGACCTGAAGCCATGACCTGAAGCCATGACCTGAACCCATGAGCTGAACCCATGACCTGATCCCATGAGCTGAACCCATGATCTGAAGCCATGACCTGAAGCCATGACCCGAAGCCATGACCTGAAGCCATGACCTGAACCCATGATCTGAAGCCATGACCTGAACCCATGATCTGAAGCCATGACCTGAACCCATGACCTGAACCCATGACATGAAGCCATGACCTGAAGCCATGACCTAAAGCCATGACCTGAACCCATGAGCTGAACCCAAGACCTGATCCTATGAGCTGAACCCATGATCTGAAGCCATGACCTGAAGCCATAACCTGACCACATGACCTGAACACATACCTGAACCTATGACCTGACCCCATAACCTGACCCCATGAGCTGACCCCATGACCTGAAGCCATGACCTGAACCCATGACCTGAAGCCATGACCTGACCCCATGACCTGAAGCCATGACCTAAAGCCATGACCTGAAGCCATGAGCTGAACCCATGACCTGATCCCATGAGCTGAACCCATTAACTGAACCCATGACCTGAATTCATGATCTGAAGCCATGACCTGAAGCCATGACCTGAACCCATGACCTGAAGCCATGATCTGAAGCCATGACCTGAAGCCATGACCTGAAGCCATGATCTGAACCCATGACCTGAACCCATGATCTGAAGCCATGACCTGAACCCATGACCTGAACCCATGACCTGAAGCCATGACCTGAACCCATGACCTGAAGCCATGACCTGAACCCATGACCTGATCCCATGATCTGAACCCATGATCTGAAGCTATGACCTGAAGCTATGACCTGAACCCATGATCTGAAGCCATAATCTGAAGCCATGACCTGAAGCCATGACCTGAAGCCATGATCTGAACCCATGACCTGAATACATGATCTGAAGCCATGACCTGAACCCATGACCTGAACCCATGACCTGAAGTCATGACCTGAAGCCATGACCTGAAGCCATGACCTGAACCCATGAGCTGAACCCATGACCTGATCCCATGAGCTGAACCCATGATCTGAAGCCATGACCTGAAGCCATGACCCGAAGCCATGACCTGAAGCCATGACCTGAAGCCATGACCTGAACCCATGATCTGAAGCCATGACCTGAACCCATGATCTGAAGCCATGACCTGAACCCATGACCTGAACCTATGACGTGAAGCCATGACCTGAAGCCATGACCTAAAGCCATGACCTGAACCCATGAGCTGAACCCAAGACCTGATCCCATGAGCTGAACCCATGATCTGAAGCCATGACCTGAAGCCATAACCTGACCACATGACCTGAACACATACCTGAACCTATGACCTGACCCCATAACCTGACCCCATGACCTGAACCCATGACATGAAGCCATAACCTGATCCCATGAGCTGACCCCATGACCTGAAGCCATGACCTGAAGCCATGACCTGTAGCCATGACCTGAACCCATGACCTGAAGCCATGACCTGATCCCATGAGCTGAACCCATGACCTGATCCCATGAGCTGAACCCATGATCTGAAGCCATGACCTGAAGCCATGACCTGATCCCATGAGCTGAACCCATGATCTGAAGCCATGACCTGAAGCCATGAACTGAAGCCATGACCTGAACCCATGAGCTGAACCCATGACCTGATCCCATGGGCTGAACCCATGACCTGATCCCATGAGCTGACCCCATGATCTTAAGCCATGTGCTGAACCCATGACCTGATCCCATGAGCTGAACCCACGACTTTAGAATCCACAGGCAAGTCTCTGGCCGCGACACCAAGGCGGCTCCAAAAATCTAAATATTAGGGTCCGCCGCTGCAGGTCAATTAGAGCAGACATTAAGCTGAAGACCAGATACAGACAACGTGCCCACTAGACAGACAACCAGATACAGACAAGGTGGTCACTAGACAGACAACCAGATACAGACAAGGTGGCCACTAGACAGACAATCAGATACAGACAAGGTGGCTACTAGACAGAAAACCAGGGAAAGACAACCAGGCTACTAGACAGACAACCAAGGACAGACAACCAGGGACAGACAACCAGGGACAGACAACCAACGCCAAAGCTAAAAGTCTCCATTGAAAAGAGTGTTAGTGTGCAAGAGATTGTGCCAACTGTGTATGCGCACGAGTCCATCTGGGCGTACGTTTGTTTGTGTGCCTTTATAGATATGTGGGAGTAGCTGTGTAGATATGTGGGAGAGTCAGTGTGTAAATGTGTGGGAGTGCCTGCATTTATATGTGAGAATGTCTGTGTAGATGTGTGGGAGTGCCTTTGCATACATGTGTGAGAATGTTTTTGTAGATTTGTGGGAGTGCCTTTGCATACACGTGTATCAATGTTTGTGTAGATGTGTGGGAGTGCCTGCATATATGTATGAGAATGTTTGTGTAGATGTGTTTGAGTGCCTGCATATATGTGTGAGAATGTTTGTGCAGATGTGTGGGAGTGCCTGCATATTTGTGTGAGAATGTTTGTGTAGATGTGCTGGGATGAATGTCTCACGTTATCTCCCACCCCCTCCTCCATCTAGGGACTGTGAAGGCTGCAACCTTGACCCAGGTGAACTTCAACGACACCTGTGTTGGTTTCGTATGGAGCGGATTTCGTGTCAAGGCTGTCCACCAGTACAAGGTCAGGAACCAGTACAAATTCAGGCCCAGCTCTACCCATCTACACACTAGGTCACCGTTCATTGATGCTTGGTCAGGCTGGTCCATGTTGCTCAAGGTTACACGGGTGTCTCGGTATACTGCTGTAGACTGCACTCTCTCGTAGGACCTAGGTTCAGTATACCAGAGAGCGGGTGGGGGTGGGGGGGGGGGGTTAGAGTCAGTTGTACATATTTTGGGGTCGTTAAAAGCTCTCTTATCCTGTTATATAGAGCAGGCGTGGTCGCTGAAACCCGCTTGTGCTTCATCTAGCTCATATTGTAATTTCCTTTCAATCCTTTTCATGATAATTCGTAAGATGATTTTGCTAGCATGACTTATTAATGCAATGGTACGGTAGCTGGAGCATAGTTTTGGATTTCCTTGTTTTTGGGAGAGGGATAAAGACTGTTATTTTCCACTCTTTAGGCCAAATGCCACTGTTCCAGATCTTCGTGCACAGTGCATTTTAGATTTGGACGCTGGCCTCTCCTCCCGCTTGAATTAGTTCTTCTGGTATTTCGTAGCAACCTGGTGACTTTCCTTTCTTCAGGCTGTGTATTGCTGAACATACCTCATCCAGTAAAGGCTCTGGTTCTTTTTCATAACTTTCACAAGTCGTTTTTGAATTACTTGTCACATCCTCTTATATTTCTCTACAGTATTCTTTCCATCTTTCTAATATGTCTTTGGTTTCCGTTAATGTGTTACCGTTTTTATCACTTATTACATGTAAGAAGGTCTGAATTCCCTTTTAATGTTTTAATTTCTTTAAACACGTCTCTGTCTCTTCCTTGCATCTGAAGTTGTTCAATTCTATTTCAGGTATTCATAATAAACTGTTTTTCATCTTCTCTGATAGCTCTTCTGATTTCTTTCGTGTCATTTCTTTATGCATGGCTCTTTATTTCTGTCCCTACTTGCTTTAAATTTCTTCTTTCTTCTATCAGCTTGAAAGTTTTTTCTGTAATGTAAATCTGTTTCTTGTGTGGTTTTTTAGGAATCACGTTCTGAGTTGTTGTGATGATGATGTTTCTTGCTTCATCAGACAACTCATCAGGTGTCATATCCTCCTGCACTGCTTTGAGTGCCTCAAATTTGAAAAAAATGTTCTGTAACCCTAGTTGTGATATGTTGTGTGACCCAGTTTGTGTGGCCCAGGTTGTGTGACCCAGGTTGTGTGGCCTACGTTGTGATATGTTGTGTGACCCAGGTAGTGTGACCTAGGTAGTGTGACCCAGGTAGTGTAACCCAGGTAGTGTGATCCAGCTAGTGTCACCCAGGTAGTGTGACCCAGGTAGTGTGACACAGGTAGTGTGACCCATGTTGTGTGACCCAGGTAGTGTGACACAGGTAGTGTACTCCAGCTAGTGTGACCCAGCTAGTGTGACCCAGCTAGTGTGACTCAGCTAGTGTGACCCAGGTAGTGTGATCCACCTAGTGTGACCCAGCTAGTGTGACCCAGGTAGTGTGACCCAAGTTGTGTGACCCAGGTAGTGTGATCCAGATAGTGTGATCCAGGTAGTGTGACCCAGGTAGTGTGACCCAGGTTGTGTGATCCAGGTAGTTTGACCCAGATAGTGTGACCCAGGTTGTGATGTTAACGATATGTTGTACTACCCAGGTGGTGATGTCAATGATATGTTGTACGATCCAGGTAGTGATATCAAATATGAAGGTCCCATCCATGGCACCGATCCAGGCAGACTTAGGAAAACTGGAGCTGGAGTTCGTCCAGTGTCACCTCAACCTGAGCACGCCTTACCTGGTCAACCTGACCCTGGTGGGAGAGGACGCTGCAGGAACTGCGGAGACCGCTACTGGGGTCATGTGGACTTCTCATCAACTGCCTCCTCCACCAGATTTAGCGAAGTAAGTTGGGGGTGATACTTAAGTCTGTCTAAACTTGAGGTTTGTGTGTGTGTTCATCTTGCCCCATGGTTTGTGTGTGTGTTCATCTTGCCCTATGGTTTGTGTGTGTGTGTTCATCTTACCCTATAGTTTGTGTGTGTGTTCATCTTGCCCTATGGTTTGTGTGTGTGTTCATCTTGCCCTATGGTTTGTGTGTGTGTGTTCATCTTACCCTATGGTTTGTGTGTGTGTGTGTTCATCTTGCCCTATGGTTTGTGTGTGTGTGTTCATCTTACCCTATGGTTTGTGTGTGTGTTCATCTTACCCTATGGTTTGTGTGTGTGTTCATCTTACCCTATAATTTGTGTGTGTGTGTGTGTGTTCATCTTACCCTATGGTTTGTGTGTGTGTTCATCTTACCCTATAGTTTGTGTGTGTGTTCATCTTACCCTATAGTTTGTGTGTGTGTGTGTTCATCTTACCCTATAGTTTGTGTGTGTGTGTGTGTTCATCTTACCCTATAGTTTGTGTGTGTGTGTGTTCATCTTACCCTATAGTTTGTGTGTGTGTGTGTGTTCATCTTACCCTATAGTTTGTGTGTGTGTTCATCTTACCCTATGGTTTGTGTGTGTGTGTTCATCTTACCCTATGGTTTGTGTGTGTGTTCATCTTGCCCTATAGTTTGTGTGTGTGTTCATCTTACCCTATGGTTTGTGTGTGTGTGTGTGTGTTCATCTTGCCCTATGGTTTGTGTGTGTGTGTTCATCTTACCCTATGGTTTGTGTGTGTGTGTTCATCTTACCCTATGGTTTGTGTGTGTGTGTTCATCTTACCCTATGGTTTGTGTGTGTGTTCATCTTGCCCTATAGTTTGTGTGTGTGTTCATCTTACCCTATGGTTTGTGTGTGTGTGTGTGTGTTCATCTTACCCTATGGTTTGTGTGTGTGTTCATCTTACCCTATGGTTTGTGTGTGTGTTCATCTTGCCCTATGGTTTGTGTGTGTGTGTTCATCTTACCCTATGGTTTGTGTGTGTGTGTGTGTGTGTGTTCATCTTACCCTATTGTTTGTGTGTGTGTGTTCATCTTACCGTATGGTTTGTGTGTGTGTGTTCATCTTACCCTATGGTTTGTGTGTGTGTGTGTTCATCTTACCCTTTAGTTTGTGTGTGTGTTCATCTTACCCTATGGTTTGTGTGTGTGTGTTCATCTTGCCCTATGGTTTGTGTGTGTGTGTTAATCTTACCCTATGGTTTGTGTGTGTGTTCATCTTGCCCTATGGTTTGTGTGTGTGTGTGTTCATCTTACCCTATGGTTTGTGTGTGTGTTCCTCTTGCCCTATGGTTTGTGTGTGTGTTCATCTTACCCTATAGTTTGTGTGTGTGTTCATCTTACCCTATGGTTTGTGTGTGTGTGTTCATCTTACCCTATGGTTTGTGTGTGTGTGTTCATCTTACCCTATGGTTTGTGTGTGTGTGTTCATCTTACCCTATGGTTTGTGTGTGTATGTTCATCTTACCCTATGGTTTGTTTAAGGGCGTAGAATTATCAGATGCTTTTACAGATTATGTCATACATTATCTATGGCAGTCAGTTTTAGGTATCATTCTTTTCGTTTGTATTGCAGGACCCCATTGGGTTGGGGTGGTGGGGGGGGGGGGGGGGGACAAGAAGAGACCCACTGCTAGGATTACTTGACCCCATGGGGGGGGGGGCTATAAGAGACCCACTGCTTTAATTTTATGACCCCATGGGGGGGGGGAGGGAACTATAGGAGACCCACTGCTTGGATTCCATGACCCCATTTGGGGGGGGGGGAGGGGGCTATAAGAGACCCACTGTTAGGATTCCATGACCCCATGGGGGGGGGGGGGCTAGAAGAAACCCACTGCTTGGATTCCATGACCCCATTGGGGGGGGGGGGGGCTAGAAAAGACCCCCTGCTAGAATTCCATGACTCTATTGGGGGGGGGGGGGGCTAGAAGAGACCCACTGCTTGGATTCCATGACCCCATTTTGGGGCGACTAGAAGAGACCCACTGCCAGGATTCCATTACCCTATTTGTGGGGGGGGGGGGGGGACTAGAAGAGACCCACTGCTTGGATTCCATGACCCCATTTTGGGGCGACTAGAAGAGACCCACTGCTTGGATTCCATGACCCCATTGGGGGGGGGGGACTAAAAGAGACCCACTGCTTGGATTCCATGACCCATTTTGGGGCGACTAGAAGAGACCCACTGCTAGGATTCCATGACCCCATTTGGGGGGGGGCGGCTAAAAGAGACCCACTGCTAGGATTCCATGACCCCATTTGGGGGGGGGAACTAAAAGAGACCCACTGCTAGGATTCCATGACCCCATTTGGGGAGGGGGGGACTAGAAGAGACCCACTGCTAGGATTCCATGACCCCATTTTGGGGGGGGGGGGGGACTAGAAGAGACCCACTGCTAGGATTCCATGACCCCATTTGGGGGGGGGGGAACTAGAAGAGACCCACTGCTAGGATTCCATGACCCCATTTTGGGGCGACTAGAAGATACCCACTGCTAGGATTCCATGACCCCATTTTGGGGGACTAGAAGAGACCCACTGCTAGGATTTCATGACCCCATGGGGGTGGGGTGGGGGGGGGGGGCTAGAAGAGACCCACTGCTTGGCCAAAAAAAAGTTAGTTTACCGGACGTTGCAGAACTAACCCCAGCATTTCTTGGCTTTATCTAGGCCAATTTTGTGTAAAGAAGTTTGCCATTGCACCTGAACGGTCAGCGCTCTGTGAGACTGTGGAAACCTGCGCAAGACACACTGTCCGCAGCTGGGATCGAACCCGACATGCCGTCATGGTGAAGAGCTTCTAGAACGCCTGAGCAACAGAGTCCGACCTCGCTAACAAGCATGTCGTATGTGGCGAGGAAGCAGACCAAAGCCCAGAAGTGGACGAACGATCAGAACTTAAAGTCGGAGTGCACGCTAAAAAGAGAGAACAAGAAGAGTAGCATTCTTAAAGCCACGTGTTCTCACGTGCAGGCGCATGTTGCTGCTGCTAGTGAGTGACAGTGTACTAGTTCAGTCAACACTCTCTGGTGGGATTAACAGACTCCAGACATCCAACATTTCTGCAACTTTGCTGACTATCATAGACCAGACTCCAGACATCCAACATTTCTACAACTTTGCTGACTATCATAGACCAGACCCCAGACATTAAACAATTCTTCAACTTTGCTGACTACCATAGACCAGACTCCAGACATCCAACATTTCTACAACTTTGCTGACTATCATAGACCAGACCCCAGACATTAAACAATTCTTCAACTTTGCTGACTACCATAGACCAGACTCCAGACATCCAACATTTCTACAACTTTGCTGACTATCATAGACCAGACCCCAGACAGTAAACAATTCTTCAACTTTGCTGACTATCATAGACCAGACTCCAGACATCCAACAATTCTACACCTTTGCTGACTATCATAGACCAGACTCCAGACATCCAACATTTCTACAACTTTGCTGACTATCATAGACCAGACTCCAGACATCCAACAATTCTACAACTTTGCTGACTATCATAGACCAGACTCCAGACATCCAACATTTCTACAACTTTGCTGACTATCATAGACCAGACTCCAGACATCCAACAATTCTACAACTTTGCTGACTATCCTAGACCAGACTCCAGACATCCAACATTTCTACAACTTTGCTGACTGTCATAGACCAGACTCCAGACATCCAACAATTCTACAACTTTGCTGACTATCATAGACGAGACTCCAGACATCCAACATTTCTACAACTTTGCTGACTATCATAGACCAGATTCCAGACATCCAACATTTCTACATCTTTGCTGACTGTCATAGACAGACTCCAGACATCCCGGAAGCCCCACCAGAACTGTCTATACTGAATGCCAGTATTAAGGAAGAAGGTAAGGGAAGGCTCGGTTCCCAGTAGAGGAAGCCTGTTAAAACCGTGGTGGCCTGGAGACACAGGAGAGCAGCTAGAGAAGCTGCAAGAATCTTGCCCTGCAAATTGTGATGGGAGCCCAGTTCCACATGACGACAATTATCTTAGCAGAAGCTCTCTGTATTGGCTGTGCCGTTTACCCAATATTCCAGTAGATTTTCCATAAGTTTATGAAATTTTTTTTGGGCGCACACCTAAACTGTATATTTGTCCATACCCAGATACTTGCCTATACCTAAACTAGATCATTGCCCATACCTAAACTAGATAATTGCCCATACCTAAACTAGATAATTGCCCATACCTGAGTTAGATATTTGCCCATACCTAAACTAGATATTTGCCCATATCTAAACTAGATATTGTCCCATGTGTCTTTCCTATGTAGAATCGTCTCAGTGACACAGACAACTATTGTATTGACCTTGCCCTCCGTGACCCTGACACATGGACCACTGACAGGCCTGGAAATCAGGATCAAACCCACAGAAACAAACCGCTCGCCGGAGGAGAGAAAACCAAGTGGTTTCTTGTGGACACAGCTCTTGAAGCGACACAAGAGAAACTTGGACAATCTTCAGTCACTTAAAGCTCTCCTAAGGCCAGTGCAGACTCCAGTATTTCAGCCGGTTCATGGACAGGGCGACATGCCTGATAAAAGCCGTAAGGCGATGTTGGCAGATGATGTCAGCCCAGGGGCTGTGCTGCCATGGGAAGTACCATCTGATCAGGATGTGCTACAAGCAGATGTGTCAGGTAGAGATGCTGTTGTAACTGAACGGAAACAAAGTACAGGTCTTCAGACAGATTATCAGTTTGGAAATAGGGAGACCAATCACTCTGAACCAGCTCGATTTGAAGCAATAAGTGAGAGACTTGCCAGGGGCAGAGAAAGCTACAAGAGGAACACGGTGGAGGATTTCAAACAGCAAGCAACTCCAATAAAGATCTCCGCTCACAGCTCGATGCCTGAGACATATGAGGTCAATTTACCAGCTCAAACAAACGTCACTTCTCACAGCTCGATGCCTGAGACATATGA